ATTTTTTAACATATTGTTTTTACTCAAAGACAGAATACCTCAATACACCTTTATAACGTATACCCAGTTTGGTCAGAATACTGTCGATTTACTATCTACATATCACATTGTATTATTGCTATTAAAATGTACTAAGTTTTATGTATTAGTTTATTTAGTCATCGATTCGGGAATATTCTTAATTATTTGTACATTTTTGTTACTTCCATATTTCAAAGATTTTTTATGTGACAGTTTAGGTTTGTTTAATTTTAATTCTTCTGCTAATACTTACATATGTATATTACTTTAGCCAATATGGTTAAGTTAATTTTAAGTTTACATTATTATATCTTTTATTGTATTTTTTATACGGACTTCAAACTTAATGTAAAGTGGTCAATAAACGTTCTATCTATCTATCTATCTATGTAGATACTTTTTTCTTTTTGGGTGTGGTAGTCAATAAAAAATAGAGCTTTGCTAAGGCGTACTATTTATTCTAAAATCCGAGCTTTCGGTGGTTATTTGCCACCTTTATCAAGGTCTACAATGAAAATTACTGTGTTATAAAATTAGGCTGATGTAATATAAAAGTTATAAAAACTTACCAGAAAGTAAGATTCATAGCATATAAAACACAACGTTTGTGTTTCCAAGATAGACGGGGATGGAAACATTCAATGTTTCCATCCCCGTCTATCTTGCGCCGCTCTTATCCAGTTTATATATATATAAACTATATATATATATATATATATATATATATATATATATATATATATATATATATATATATATATATACTTGTTTTATTATCTGATCTTCCAGCTCCAATTTACATCTTGGTAAATTTGCTGTTGTATTGTAACCATGCATTTTGTCTTTTTTGGGGAAATTAACATGCTAAATTTTCTGGTCCATGCACTGAAAGAGTTTAATATTCCAACTCAACTCATTGATATAGTAAAAGAAACACTTAAAGTACAAATCAAAATTCGAATTCAAAACGAACTAACAGATACAATCCATGTGAGAACGGGCCTACGACAGGGATATGCCTTCTTCTTCTTCTTCCAGTTCCATGACCGTTATCGATCGTTGGATATCATGTTGGCTACCATATTCGCTATCGTGACTTTATTGACAGCAGCGCTAAATAACGATGTAGTTGATTTTCCATACCATTGCCTTAGATTTTTCAGCCATGATGTTCTTCTTCTACCAGGACCACGATTACCTTGGATCTTTCCCTGAATGATCAGATGTAAAAGATCATATTTTTCAGGGTGTCTCATAATATGACCGAAGTATTCCAGCTTGCGTTTCTTTATTATATTGACCAGTTGTGTTGTTTGGTTCAGCCGTCTAAGGACCTCCTCATTTCTAACTCTGTCGACCCAGCTTATTTTTAGTAGTCGTCTGTATACCCACATCTCAAAGGCTGTCAAGCGTTTAAGCATAGCCTCAGTTAGGGTCCACGCTTCTACTCCATACAGCAGGGCAGGAAAGATGTAGCAAGATATCATACGAACTCTAAGGTCAATGCTAAGATCATGACTGCAAAGTACGTTTCTCATTTTTACAAAGGCAGCTCGGGCTTGTTCTATTCGGTTTTTAATTTCTGCGGTTGGATCCCAGCTCTCATTGATATTACTGGCGAGATACACGAGTTTCTCTAGTCTGTCCAGTGTGGCATCTCCGACTTTTATACCGTCATCATGTATATAATTTTGTTTGCTAACTATCATATATTTAGTTTTCTTAACGTTGAGTTTTAATCCATACTGATCACAAGTCTGTTTTATTTTGTTCATTAGATTTTGAAGGTCTTCTCCGCAATTGGCAAGGACTAAGGTATCGTCGGCATATCTAATATTGTTGACGGTTACTCCATTCACAATAATACCTTCGGTTGTCTCCATTAAGGCTTCCTTAAATATTTCCTCCGAATATAAGTTAAAAAGTAAAGGCGACAATATACAGCCTTGTCTCACTCCTCTTTTTATATTTATTTCATCCGACAGTTCTTTTTCAACCTTTATTCTTGCCACTTGATGCCAGTATAGATTTGTAATTATTCGTAGATCTTTATCGTCCAATCCAGCTGGGATATGCCATATCCTGTATTCTATTCAACATCACATTAGAGCAAATAATTAGGGAGTCAAAAGTCAACACCAGAGGAACAATAATAACAAAAAGTGTACAAATATTGGAATTTGCAGATGATGTTAATATCATAGCCAGAAGCAATAGAGAGATGATAGAAGCATTTAATGCGATAGAAAGAGCGGCACAAAATAGTGGCCTAAACATTAACCCATTAACGCCCAAATTATTTTTTTTTGCATTTTAAAAAAAACCCAATTCTTATTAACGCCACTCAAAAATACTACGAACAAAACTTTGCAAGAATTAAAATGGGACAAGAAATCACCTCTCCTTTTCAAACAACAAAGGGACTAAGACAAGGCTGATGTCTGTCACCCACCTTATTTAAAATCTATTTGGACAGATCCTTAGTAAAATGGGTAATAAAATGTAGAAACATGGGAATAACGGTGGAAGAAAACACGCTATATACACTTTTCTTTGCGGATGACCAGGTAGTAATTGCCGAAGATAGCTACGATCTTAGCTATCTAGTATTTGGCAGGTCTAAACATGAATATGACAAAATGTGAATATCTATCAGTGGGAACAGATGAAATATGTGACCTAGTCTTGGAAGACGACAAAATCAAAGGCGTACAATCCTGCAAATATTTGGGGGTAATTTTCAATAAGAAGGGAAATAGCGCAGATGAAATCAGGGAAAGAATAAACAAGGGTAGAGCAGCGACCCTTGCCTTAAACTCTCTTCTCTGGCAAAAAACACTTCGACGAGAAACCAAAAAACACATTTACGGTAGTATAGTCCAAAGTATTACACTTTACGGTTCGGAAGCATGGGAGGTCACCAAAGCTTATAAAAACAAACTTATGACGACAGAAATGGATTATCTAAGATGAAGCTGCGGTAGATCGAAACTAGAAAGAGTTAGGAACGAACAAATAAGAAACGAAATGAAAATGGAGCGAAATATCAATGATAACATAGAAAGAAAACAATTAATCTGGTTTGGACATGTTAAAAGAATGCCAGAGTACAGATGGCCTAAAAAAGTACTGGAATGGATTCCTCCTGAAAGAAGAAAGAGAGGACCACCACGGAGAAGTTGGCGCAACGATATTGATGAAGCAATGGCGTCAAGAGACTTAGAAGAGGCAACTGCGTATGACAGAAAAAGATGGAAATTGGGGCGGAGAAGCGGCGACAGCCGTAATCAATCCGTTATATATATTATATATATATATATATATATATATATATATATATATATATATATATATATATATATATAGTATAAGGATTGCAACAATCGATGTCCAAGATGGAAGAGTATAGGTTAAGATGGTTAGAGGTCAACGTCGAAATGTTATTCGCCTAATACGAATAATTTCTGAGTGGCAAGTTCGTCGAAGGACTACGATAGTAAGACCAAATAATACCTCGTAACAGCACCTAAGGCATTACATATCTGTGAGAGAGCTTTGGTATCACCCACTATAGAAGATTATAAAGAAATGTATTTAGGATAGCTGATCTCGAATAGGGATAAAAAAAGTAAAAAACAGAAAAAGAAAATATTTCCAATTGGTTTTATTATAAATTGCACGATGAATTGCTCTACAATTTTAGCACATCTTGAGGTCCCCGGCAAAAGGTTAGGTACTTAACGAATAACTGTCAAAGATGAATGGTTTAAAGTAAGTAACCTATGCGATCGTGCCAGGGCAGTGCTGGTAGAGAAACCAACTTATTGCACATCGATGCAATTGCAGTATCTTAAGAAGATATATAGAGAGTGGAAGAGTAAAAACTATCGACTGTCTGTATGATGTGACTATTGTGTATAATATTATTTATTTTTTTTATTTTTAAAAGAACTCAAAACAAGAAGATACAATACCAACCCACCAGGATAACAGCTCACAGTAAAAACTATCCCTTTTGCTTCTCTTCTTCCTAGTTCGTCTGATACGAAATATTAAAAATTATCGATAACAAAAAATTTTAAGAAATAATTCTTGGATTGAATAGTTATTTTACTTTTCTATGATACTAATACTAAATACCAAATCACAGTATTCGTTGGACAGTGAACAGGTAAATATCGTTATCGATAATCTGTGCCGGTGTCCTTGACTATATTGCCATTATTATTATGAGTGAATCGAGGGGTGGTGTTGAGCCACCCCAGAATAATACATTATTATTGGATACGAAAGACAAAAGGAACATTAATTTAAATAACAGATATAAACTAAATGATTAAGGGTATTATTATGTCTTCGTAGAATCTATAGACAAAAATACTACACTATGTACTAGACATTAAACCTGTTGATATAAATAAAGTAAAAGTAATTTTTAAAACTTATACGCAAATTCTCTAATTGAACATGAAATTATTAAAGATAATAAACTTGTAGGGTATATGCCATAATTTTTTATTCAAAAGAATGGAATTATTAGGGAAGTCGATACGTTTTAGGATGAAAACTATATTTTAGAAAATAGTGTTTCAGATAAAAATGTTGTCGAAGTAAAAAGGTTAAAACAGAAAATAATTGATTCGGATAATGAAATAATTCTTGTTCCTCGCCAGATGATAATTTTGACATTTGAAGGAAATAGCATTCCTAAGACTGTTAATTTAGACTGTTAGGTTTAATGTTGAATACATGTTGAACATACATATATCCGATTGTTCAGTATTTTAATTGCTTTCGGTTCGGTCATACTGCTCGGCAATGCAAATCAACATCAAATCGTTGTAAAAAATGTAGTCAAACCCATGATAATAATGAAACATGCACTAACTCACTATTCTGTTTACATTGCTCCACTGAACATAACTCACTCTCTAAACACCAATACAAAATTTAAACACCAATACAAAATTAAATCAATAATGGCTTTAGAAAACACTACCTTTAAAGAAGCAGAAACCATAGCTAACAATCCGTCATACGCTAAGGTAATTACAAATAATAGATTCGATATCTTCAATACTATACAAAATTTCCCTACCTTAACCCCTAACGTCCTTGAACGTACAAATCAAAATCAATTCTATGTACCTACTTAAAAAAACAAGAAACAAGCGTAAAGCTATTTCTCCTACTGCAATCAAAAACCCTCCAACTTTACCAAGATTTTCCAATGCTACAAGCACCTCATCACAACCTATAATCCCTAATCCCTACAGGGACGAGTTTATGGCTTATAAAGAAAAAATAGAATGTAAAATAATCCAGCCTAATAAAAATGAAATTCCAGCCTTGATAGAAAATATTATCAAGAAAATTAACCCTAAAACATTTTTACCTAACTTACAAAAAAATACAAAGGAAGAAATTGAAAAAATGTTGATCAACCTAACAGATATTGAAAGCGATGAGGAACAACAGGACATTTAACATACTGCAGTGGAATTGTCAATTTATAAATAAACATAAACTTAGTTTACTTAATTATCTCAGGCACGTTGTTGTTGATGTCATTCTGCTTAATTCTTTTTAAAAATCTCGAATTCCAGTCTGGTGGAATTATGAATGCCAAAATATGATTATTTCGCGAATACTTGCATACAAAATATACATAGAAGCATCCAATTTTGAAAACTATATTAAATACAAACAAATTCAAGCCAAAAGTAATCATGTTTACAAACAAACAAAAGAGTTCGTGGATTAACTGTGTGAATACTTTAAACAAAATAACTTCCATCAGTAAAATTTGGAATCTTTATATGGATATATATATATATATATATATATATATATATATATTATATATATATATATATATATTAAAGATCATTTAAACCAATTACACGATCCTACAATGGCTCATACAGGTCTTCCACAAGGATCAGTTTTAAGTCCGTTATTGTTCAACATATTTTCTCCTCTTATAATAAAATCCTTTATTATAAGTCTTCTAACTTGATCAGTAAACATTAAAAAAATATATTTTCAACACATCAACGGTGTAATCAAAATTTTGTTGTAATGTAAGTCCCATGTATCTTGTTGCAATACCATAAATTCTGTTGAGAACTTTTGTAGTGATCACCATCCAACCATTGTATCGGTATCTGCCAGATCTATGGATCTACAGCTCTATGGACCTACAAATGTTTTCTAAAATTAAATTTATAAAATATTAAATTTTGAAACTTATACATATATTATTCAAAAATTTTTACTAGTCCTCATATAAGAAGAAAAAGTAGATAAATGAAGCAAATATGCATAAAAAACAGTAAATAAATCAGTAAATTAGTCTGAGCATTTACTATCGGTCTATAATTAACACGAGTACGCTCCTGTGTTGACACCGCACGAAGCGCTGTTGTATTGATCGCTAGAACTCAAAGCGTCGCGATGTTTCAAACACAAAAGTCCCGATACCCAAAAAACTGACAGTCGAATTCGTGTAATTCTAAAAAAATTAGCGAAATTTTTTGTTTTGAAAATGTGCTAACGTTGAACGACTGGTAGAAAACAATTTATAAAAATGAGTAATCCGAAGATGGGGTCTATCGTGTTGAAGTCGTTGTCGATTTTGTTAGGTTTGTTTTTCATTTTTGTGGGATTTATAAAAATATCTAGTGTACTCTCTAAAGATTTACATAAAGATTTGGTAAGTATCATTTCGAATGCACCTATATGCTATATATATGTACAAAAGTTCGCTGAGTTTCAAGTGATTCCAATACAGATTAATGTTTTGTCTTTCTCAGTGCAAGTCCTTAGCACAAATTAGATGTATTCACAATTAACTAATTAAGATACATTCAGAGAAAGTGAAGAGAATATATAGTATTGATAAGAACTAGAAATAAAGCATCGAAAAATATTCTAAAACTTTAAGTGATAAGTAAATAATATTAGGTAGTATTATTGCTAAATAGAAAACAATTACTGAAGATTATATATAAAGAAGGGTTAAAAGGGAGCACACATCTAAACATTGCTGCAATGTAATAATAAAACCTTTGTTAAACATTTTCTTTTAATATAATAAATAAAATATTATGTTACAATGTTATTCTATTGAAAAAATTTCGAGCTAGTTTCGATTAAATTAGTTGGTATACTCGATAAATGTACATATGTATAATTTGGCCAGTTGCCTGTCTAGGTTTGTTAGAATATTTTTAAATGTATGGAGGAATTGAATTATTGTGACCGACACCATAGTTACGCGTAGTTGAAAAAATGTATAGATACGACGTGCCAAAACAGCCGCCGCTAATTTATAATTATTTAGACAAGAAATTAAACAACAATAAAAAATAAAAACTAAGTGAAAATTATAAAAAAAAGTGCAATTAGTTAGCTGGCATGATTGTTTGACAGATAAATACAATCATATAACCATAGTAGAAACAATATAACCTTAGTAGATAATCACATGGTTATATTGTTCAATAAAAACAAAAAGAAAAGGACTGTTACCAGTACGGAAGGGCTTTTAAGTAAGCAAAAGATAAAACAAATAAAAACGTAAACAAAGAAGAAATGAAATATTTAGCAAACAGCAGAAAAAGTGGTTAAATATTTTGAAAACTATTCGAAAGTCCGTAACAAATAACACGAAGAAAAGAATAAGAACTGACAAAATTAAACTAATTAAATATTTAATTTCGTTCCTTTCCAAGGATAAGATAAAATAATTTTTGATTTTGTTTCAGAGAAAAGAATATGTCAAATATGCAAAGGTATTTCCGATGTCTGAAATGCTAGATTTCAAAATTCCTTCAAAATGGTACCGAAGAACAGTGGGAGGGCTAGAAATGATCTGTGGTAGTGCAATGGCATTTTGGCCAAATCGTAAGTATTCTATTTTAATAAATAAATTTTCAATTCACAGTTCAGTTAATAAATCTATAAGAAAATAATATTATATCATTAGCTTTTTATTCTGAAATAAAAATCAAAGGTAAACAACTCAAGAAAAAAACAGGATCTCAAGAAACAGAAAAAAGTACAAAGGATAAACCCTTTAATCCTAACAGATATGGTAACAGCATAAAGCAACGTACACATTTCACAAATATTGGACGAAATAAAAAAAAATGATAAGTGAGCAGTGACGAAATATATAAATTATACTAAGAAAATGACAAAATAATGGGCGTAGAAGCATGCTAAGCGTGATTTTCAATAAGAAACATAATAGTGATAATGAAATTATGAAAAATAAAGAATAACAGAACAGCGATAGGATCCTTACTTTTTCTTTTCTGCCAAAATATAGCTGAAATCATTATATTTTACTATTATGAGATATGAGACGTTACCAATAAAAATAAATTTGGGATGAGAAACGTAGGTTTAAACGTTTAAGATGAATTATAGTGGATCTAAAGTTAAAACTGTAGATATTAAAAGATATGTAACGAAATAAATCTATCAATATATAATTAAGGACATAGAAAAAAAGACTATTGACATATTTTGTACACGTAAAGAGGATAGCAGAAGAAAGATGTTCTCATAAATATTCTATTAGAGAAGTTGACGTGTCAATATGCTCTGACCAATCGCAGCAAGATGTAATCGGCTCAGAGAAAGAAACATGGAAAATAAGGGAGCGACATAAACTCAAAACTATTCAAATAGCAAGCCTAAAATAGTTGCTTTTGACAACAATTGATTTACAATATCTTTAAAAATCACTAATTAACCTAGGCCGTTGACGTGAATAGTAATTTTAAAGAACAAAATTAACAGAAAAATTAATGTATGAAGTTATTATTTATACTCTACAGATAAATTCGTACATATAAATTCATAAATAAATATTATATTTATTATATTGTTAATATGTTCAAAAGCGATTCCTACATTTTATAGACCACTTCAAGGGCCAATGTTCAAAGGCCAAAGGATGAAAGGGATGCCAGTTTTCTACAACAGTTCTCCCTTAGAAACGGAATAATGACTAATGATGAGCTATAAATTAATTAATCATGATTTGTAATGTTGTATCTCCTCGAATAGTACGTACTATAGTACAAAACGTTAGGATAATGCAATTTGCTAGAAATTATCAACATTGGCATAATGAAGAGTGAAAAGTGAAAGCGAAAGAAAATGTATAGAAATAAATAAGATAAGATAAGGTATTTAATTAAGTTAAATAAATAACAGGGTGAACAGGATATTCGATGACTTATTTAAATTTTTTTCTAATGATTAGTTATAACTCCTACACCTGGACCATTTAAACAGTAGATTGGCTAGACTAATAAGAACGCTTTGATTAACTTGAAAACCAGGAGGAAAATACATTAGATTTTGTGGATAATAATTTTTTAGGCAGATTTTAAAACTATTTTTTTCGTGACTCTGTTAACGTCAAATAAAAAAATATGTTTATATGGAATTAAGACGCAATTGAACTTAAGGAAAATAACATTTTAGAATTTTTATTTGTCGTTTCGATTTTCACTTCGAAAATTATTTTCACGAAAGATTATTTTAAATTAGTAAGACGTTAGTATAACGAAAAATTGTTTGTCGCTTATTGTTTTTCAAATTGACGGTTAGCTTACTTGGTCTCGATCTTGTAGGCATATAGCCATGTTTATTGGTAGCCACTTCTGAGGATGATGTTGCACTCGCAGAATAATATCAAATTTTGATTAACATGTTAATGTATTGTCTGTTGTATATGTATTCTGTATTGTTGCAGATAATGTATCTCTGACTTTTTGTTAATCCGCTAATCTTAGTATGTTCTTGTTACTGACTTCTTCTTTTTTTAGTATTGGTGACCAGAGCTTGCTACATTATGCTGATGCTATACATTTTTCATCATTAAGTAAGATGAGAGACACTTCTTTAATTTGTCTCTTTTCAAGTCTATTTGATTCATGACTATCAATGCATATTTTCATTGCACTCTGTACTGTGTGCTCATTATCCCAGGCATGTTTTCATATCTATGATTTGTCGACAACTCTGTTTTTGATGTTCTCGTATGTTTTATGCTCATTTATCCTGATACTTAGTGGATTTACAGGGTATTATATACGAGTAAATGCAGTTGTCATCGTAGATCCCTTCTTGTGAGCATTTCCGGATTGTTTATGGTGTTCTGTTGTTTTCTTTCTTCAATCTTGTGAAATTTCTTGTTTATAAATAACACTGGGTAATCAGTTTTTGTTAAAAACTTTGTTAGCAGTTTTTTAATTAAAACAAAATAATCTTTTTTAAAAACGATTTTCGGAGTGGAAATCGAAACGTAAAATAAAAATTATAGATTGTAATTTTCATTACAGCCAATTATGTCTCAATACCGTATAAAAACAATTTTTATTTTTTTAGGTTGTGTGCCTATTATATTTGTGGTCTTCGTTGTCTTCTCTCTTTTTCCGAAGGTCTTGATATTTTAGCTATTTCACGTCCGACAAAATATCTCACTTTGATTTTGTCCATAATTCGTTTATTTGTTCTCTTATTCTTTAGTTTCGTAGTTTAATTTTTTAAGTATTTATAGTTTATTACACAAAAAGAGTAATCCAATAGACCTTGAAAATTACTGACTTATAAGCCTGTTAAACCACCTCTACACGTTACTTACAAAAATATAGACAGGAAACAAAAATATATTTTTCATAATCTAGGGAACAGGGTTTTAAGAGAAACAATCAATGTAAAAAACAAGGAATATAACCGAAAATTAGTACTGGCTTTCATAGACTTTCGCAAATCATTCGATAGTATAGAAAGTGACACCCCAATAAAAGTGTTTACGTTGGAGGAAAGTTGTATAGATTATCGGTACTCTGAACTAATCGAAAACATACAATAATGCAACGATGACCGTAAGATTATACAAATATACAAATTGTATAAAAATTAAAAATGGCGTCAGACCAGGAGAAACGTTATCTCCCAAATTCTTTACGGCAGTTCTGAAACATGCTTTCAAACAATTGGGATGGGACCCTAGTGGAATCAAAGTCGACGGCGAAATGCACGGAACCATGCTTACTGAATTGGATGTTGCCTGCAAGTAAGTTAGTTTGAACAAAAATTTTAGAAAGACACAATACATGATAAATCGGGTACCAAGAGAAAATTCAAAAGTCGGTTATTCGGCTAGATTATAAATATAAATAATTAGGTCATGAAATCCAAATTATTATTGATTTAAAGGTTTAGAAATAATTTAAAGTAAACTAAGATATAAGTTATCGTTGGATATCCGATACCAATTTGTAACAACGTTTGTTTATTCCATATTGCTATACGGAGTGGAAACATGGACTCTCGGAAGTACAAGTATGAGGCGTATAGAAGCCTTTGAGATGTGGGTTTTTCGAAAGATTCTGAAGATCTCTTGGTCAGAGCAAAATTTCATGTATATATAAAATTGTCCTTTTAATTTACCTCCAACTTCAACTGACCGATAATTATACCAAATCATGTAACTTGGTATAGTATTTAACTACTAAGTAAAGATTCTTATACAGTTATCTATATGTATTGGAGTTTTGCTATCCAAGAAGTTTTTAATTAAAAACTCAGCAGTGTCACTAAATCAGTTTGTGCCTAGATTATATAGAAATGAATTTACAATACATACTAATCGGCGGTAGTGATGTAACGATACGAATCTAGTCTTTTACCATTATCGAGAAATCACATATCACATATGCTGTGCATGTTCCTGACAGGTATAAAAGAACTCTTAACTCAGCATGATGGAAATGTTTTGAACAAAAAGAAATATTACTCAGATTAGTAACAGACCACCAGTTATAGAATGGAAAGGGTATTTTAATCAGCAAAGTATTGGGGATAGTGTCTCATTGCCTAACCCGTTTATTTATTAATATGAGTTATGTTTCTTTATAGATCTTAATTTTTGTCGTTTTGTTTGTTTATTTTGTTTGTTTTGTAAGGGTAATAGTCCAGTGAAAAAGGGGTAGAAAAAGTGCAATTACCAACCAGATGGTCTGTCACATTGGATAAATTACTATATAGATGCAAACTTTGCAAGTGCCCTACGAATAACCCAGATTAGAGAAAGATTAAGAACAATAAAAAACAGTGGTAAAACGTCAGTACTGATAAATACTACACATTTACTAAGGTGCACAAAATGAAAGAAAAAAATTGATTTGAAATATTCAGTCATTTATATGATGTTATTAGTTACATTTATTTGTTAAACCTTCTGTTTTTTCTGAAGCTTACACGAGTAGGTACTTTATAAATAGATTTTTAACATGAATTACCCACTAAATATATTTTAAAAAGGTTTAATACAAATATTTAAATTGGACGTAACACTTAATATTTGGTTATAGCTTTACATTGCATCGTTACAAATTAGGTGGAGATTAAATTTAAAATAAACGCAATAAAATCATTAAATAGCCAATATTCAAATTAAATAAATTTGATAAGGAATGTCTCCGTGAAGGTTTGTGTAATATACTAAATATATTTTAAATTTAAAAATATTACTAGAAATATTTATTACAGGGAAATTCCTTAATATCCTCTTCTTCTTCTTCTTCTTCTTCTTCTTCTTCTTCTTCGCGTCAATACGTTTCAGTGTCAGATTGTTGATTTAAATGTTTATTGCTTATCTATTCCTTCCAGTTTTTTGGTCTGAACTCATTGCTCATATCTTTACAATTCTACAATTGTCTTTCCTATTTTTCGTCCAATTTCGTTTATTCTATTTATCTATGTTTTCCTTCTGACTTTTTTTCATATTATTTTTTCTCTTTGTTGATATTATCATCTTAGTTAAATTGTTTTGGTTTTTCCATGTCATTAAAACTGTTTCCTATTAATTTTATTTAATAGAGGTTCTTGATTTACCTCTGATCTAATTTCTTTATTTCTGTGTCTATCCATTTTGGTATTTCCCGAAATCCTTCTAAGCTATTTCATTTCCATAGCTCTTATTTTGATTTCGTATTTTTATGCAAAGTCCATGTTTCACTAGCATATTATTATGTAATAGATGGGGCAACAATTACATTAAAATCTTGAATTTATTTCTTTCCTTTTGAACTTTGTTTTATTTAATGCATATAGTATATCTTGCTAGT